ACAAAAAATCAAATGGCAAAATTTTGACGTAAAATTTTACCCATACGTAGGTCTCGTGATCCTTTGAATGCACCAAACTTCCAGCGAAAATGGATGTTTGTTTCTCGAGATAACGAATATACAAGAAACTCGATTTTTCTGATCTCTCTGTGAAATGTGAATATTTTTTGCAAACTCATTATCTCGAGAAACAAACATTCATTTTCGCCGAAAGTTTGGTGCATTCTAAGGACGATGAGACCTACGTATGGGTAAAATTTTACGTCAAAATTTTGCCATTTGATTTTTTGTAAATACTTCGCCGTAGGCCAAAAACCCAGTAAAACGGTCATAGCTCCGGAAGGAAGGCCTATGGACCCTTATCCTTTTGGGCTTTTTCTAGTCTCATCAGATCCTACTTATGGGCAAAATATCAGTTCAAAAGCTTTTAATCACTTGGGACGGTTCTCTCGTAAGATAATAATTTCAGTTCGAAACCTAGCTCAGAAGTTATGAGTGGCGCAAGGAGCAAAATGCTTCCTTGTTGGTACTGTTTCTCCAATCTATCTCTTCTATGTAGCCTACAAAGGGCTAAATTTTTCCCTTAAAAATAATCTAAGACTTCATTCGTCTAACTTTAAGCACTGTTGGATGATTGACAGTTTACACCTGACTTTTAAAACTAACTATTGGATATCTAAACACATTTATGAATAGTTTTTCAATTGAACAAAAATAAAATAAATACTATCGTAGTCTTCATCTTTCGCCATCCTTCTTATCTCTCTATCTGTGCTGCTTTTTCTCTGTATTAGATGCAGTGTAATAAAAATATCATATTTAAATTAAGACACGTTTAGTAATCTGTGATTATGACGCTGCAATAGGATAAGAATTTATGGTGAGAAGGAGATGATGATTTATAAAATGATAAGATGTGTGCTGAAATATGGTAGAACAACGTTATATATTTCTGTAAAACTATTAACAATACAATTTTTCATAAATGTGATAAAATAGTCGGCTTGTTATACATAGTCTGATAGAATAACGTATTTTCGTCAAAATCTTCCAGAATTTTTCCAATTATTTGAGCATGGCCATAAATATTTTGAAATGAGTGGCCTGTCTAACTGATATAGAAAAGACATTGAAAAAATTTTCAAAAAATTAACCTCTGAAATACAGCCTGTAGAAGCTACGGGATAATTCCATCAGATCCATACCACTTTATACAGGACACTTGATCCCATGTCTGAAAATCACATGGTAAGATAGAACTCATCGCACTGATTCTGAATCTGACGCCAAAATTAAAAGAAGACCTTAGCATAATGGTTTTCTAGATGTGCTGATTTATCTCGATCTGTATCTTTTTAGACTGACTTAGATGAAGATGACGTTATGCTGCTTGATGCTTGGAATACAATCTTCTTATGGATAGGAAAAAGTAAACAAAGAGACAGTGTTCATCTTTTAAAAGTAATCTATTGTTTTTTCTATTCTTGTTTTTTAGATGCAAATAAAAATGAAAAACGGGATGCTGAAAAAATAGCGTTCGACTATTTGAAAACAGATCCCAGTCATCGTGATCCAGATACACCAATAATAAAAACAAAACAAGGCACTGAACCCATACATTTTACAGGATTTTTTGGATATTGGGATCGTGAATTTTGGAATGTAAGTGATGAAAGATTATAACACATATCATTGATATTTCATTTATTCATACATTGTAGACAAAATCTTCGTATGAAACAGCAAAAACAAAAATTCACTCGGAAAATCATCCAGATATCTATGCTGAATTAGTGCGAGAAAAAGCAGTAAGTGAGACAAAATCTCAATTACTTTTATCCAATGTAAAAATAAAATTATAATTTATTTAGAAAACGAGTAACATAAATCCGTTAACTGTAGCAAAATATTCCTATGATATTTTAACAAAACCAGTTGAAGATTTACCAGAAGATGTTAATCCAGAATCTCGAGAGGTAGGTCATCTTTTTTCTCGACATAAAAATCAATATGTATGGGAAAAGCATGCTACAAACCCTCAGGTTTGGAGCGATTGCAAAACATTTTTTCTGATGTTTTGGTAACAAATTTGTACATCCATTCATTATATAAATAAATTTTTGAAACATAACATTCTACATTTAGGGATAGGTGCACTCATTTTAAATCTCTCACTATTATATCGACTGTTACCAGAAGCATCCAGACTGTATAGGTTTTGGAGAGCAGAAAAAAGGATGAA